ATAATAATAATAATAGTATATATAAAAAAAAACACTTAATAATTTCATTTAATGATTATATAAAATTTAATAATTTTGACATCATTCCGATTTTATTTTAATGATTATAAATATACATCTAATTATATTTATTAATAATTTTGATAAAATTGTCGTCTAATTTAATGATTATAAATGAATCGGTAAAATGTGAACATAAATTTAAAATTGCAATATTATTATTATTTTTACTGTAGTAATTATTTACTGTACGTAATGAATGTGCTTTAAAAAATTTTTCCATTAAAAATCAGTGTTTTAAATTTTGGTGTAAATTTATAACTGGAGTAAAATTATTTAATTAAAAAAAATTCTCCGATCTAAAATTTTAAAAATAATAGATACCCAAAAAAGTTTCGATACACTTTCAATTTTTTTACCACTAGTATTTCATATTATATGTATCCAAATGAATTTAGATTATGTAAAAAAAATTTCGAGTATAAGTTTCGATAGGCTTAAGATTTGAAACTCTCTAACTCTCCAAAATCTTGCACTATTCCTAAGTTATAAGTTAAAAATTAAATTCATTGATAATTAGTCTCTTATATAAATATTTTCTTATGATTGTATTATGATATAATTAATCTTTATCAATTGATTATGATAAGATGACTTAAAATTTATGTATAGATTTGTCAGATACGTGAACGCGATGCACAAAATAATCATATAATAACTTTATTTTATTATTATTTTTATAATATTATATGATTCATTAAATTTAAGTTTTGAGCAATGATGGTTACATGAAACTCAACATTTATAAATACAATTACATAAATATTTTGCGGAACCAGGTGGCCTTTCGGTACATACTCCATTTCCATTATATTGCTTTAAGCATTGTTCTTGGCAAGTTGAAATGTTACAGTTATTCGGATCTAATACCTTCACGCACATCTTCTGTCCTTCAACTAAAGGAACAATCAAAAGAGCTGCAATCAATTTAAACAAACAATGTCAATTACGTTTAGTATAATAACAGTATCTAATTTTATATTAAATTAAAGAGAAAAATATAAACACTATCTCGTTTATGTATACAATTTATCAAGTATGAAAACATTAGACGTGAGTTACTTGTGAAATTTTTTATACTTAAACATTGATTATAAAATATTAAAAGTCTATATGAGACAAATATAATGTTAGATTATTATTATGCATCTCAATACTTGTAATTGTACTGTAAAGAGATATTGGACAAACCTGAGAAAAGGAGAATAAGAACCAAGAATTGAATGCAAGATTGTTTTGCCATGCTTGGAATGCCTCAATTTGTATTGAATATTTTTCTTAGTATTTCAAGGAGAACAATATTATAAAAACTCAATGGGTAAAAAGAAAATGGTGCCTCGAAATTTATAGAATAACATAAACTATTCATATATGTCAAGAAACATAAATATGGAAACAAAATTCATTCTCGAATAAATTCATAACCCTTTTGGATTTTTTTAGAGTAAGTTCATAATTCTTTTGAATTTTAAAAAAAAAAAATTATTTGCTAATTATATTTTTTATTATTAAAGTATATATTTGAAGTATATACAAAGATTTTGAAATAACGACAAAATTTGTACATTTTATTCTTTTATAGCTAAAAATATGATGTAATCCCTTCTCTATATCTAGATGAAAATAAATTTGTAGAATTTCAAGTCCATTCTTATTATAAATTATTTACTAATTATATCTTTTTATTTATTTAAATGTAAATATATCTTTGACTTGGAAAGTATGACCAATTTTTTTACATTTGAGACTCTTCTTTTATAGTCCCAAAATATTTGACCTTCCAAATATTATTTTAAAGGTAAAAATTTTAAAGGAGTAAGGAGAGAAAATTAAATAATTACCATTTTTAAAAAACTCTTGTTTCTATGCACGATTTGAAATTAATATTGAAAAACTTTGATAGCATTTTACAAAAACACGACACAAACTTTATTGCTCCAAAATTAGTTTGTATACACTAAGGAAAAAAAATCACTGGCCGTTAAATATAAATATTGTGTCTTTAGTAGTTAGACGATAAACATATTACTAAGACGTCATAAATAAATATTTTGTTAAATTCAGTAATTTACATAGGAAATATGTTTTGCAGTTATAGATTACAAAAAAGCTATCATGCATCATGTTTTTAGTATACAGACAATATGTAGAGATTTAACAAGTTTTATCTTTTACTTCGAATGTTAGAAGTCCACAAAGTACTCTTAACAATTTCAATATAGTCAAACTTATATATCTCCAACTGCTATGCACACATGCAAAATGATATTTAATACATATATATCTATACATGTAAGATCAACAACTCTTACTTTTATATGTACCGTGGATGTTGATGGTGTATAGATCATGAACTATAAGTATATAATGTAAGTTATAGAATTATTGCGTTTTACTCTTTGCAATATTAAAAATGCATATTCACTACAGATTAAAAACGTATAAAGTTTTTAATGATTTTTAAGAACATATATATTTTGTATTAGATAGAATGAATATTTAACCACTGAATTCTAATAAGTCCTTTTATTATTAATTATATGATCATTGGTTTTACATGTATAATAATTTTTGTTGAAATAATCTTATAGGAAATCGAAAGAGGTTGTATTTCGAATAAGAGCTTATATTTTGTATTATTTAATAATTTAATAAAAGTTAAAATCTATATAGAAGATAGAGAAATGTATTTTGCCTTATATTCATTAATTATAATAGGGTCACCCAATATAAATTGATAAGAATAGTATTGATTAAGGTATGAAAGCACCAACAAATAATAAATATATATATATATACAATTATGTATATAGAAATGAATTTCATTTATGTTTCAAAGAAGCTTTTTTAAGCTTACAATTTTTATGCCACTAATATTTCATATCTTGGAAGACCATATGTATCCAAATGGTTTTAAATTATGTGAAAGTTCTCGAGTATAACCCTCTAACTTCAAAGAATCTTGCACTAATCCTAAACTACGAATTAAATATATGAATAATTATTCTTTCATATAAATATTTTCTTAAGTTTGTACTATAATATAATTAATTTTCATCATTTGATTTTGGTGTGATAAATCTAAATTTAAGTATAGATTTGTCAAATATATTAATGCGATACGAGACAAATATATATTAACTTTATTTTATTATTCTTTTTATTATTTTTATGTTATTACATTATTTGTAAAATTTAACTCCATCATAAAGCATGGTTAAATCAAACTCAACAATTGTAAACACAATTACAGAAATATTTTGCAGAACCAGATGGCCTTTCGATACATTGTCCATTTCCATTAAGTTGCTTTAAGCATTCTGCTCTGCAGTTTGCAAGGATGCAATCATTATGATCTAATACCTTCTGACATCTCTTCTGTCCTTCAACTATAGGACAGCTAAAGACTGCAATCAATTTAAAAGAAAATGTTAATTACTTTTAACATATAACAATATCTAATTATAAACAAACTTCAAAAAAGAAAATATAAACGTCATCTATCTTAAGTAAATAATTTACGAAATATAAAAAATTTAGACGTTAACTATTTTATGAAATTTGTTGTACTTGAATACTTATTATAAAATATAAAAGTGTAGATGAGACAAATCCAACACGAAATTATTATTTATTTTTTAAAAGCATATAAGTGCTTGTAATTGTTTGTAAAGAATAGCGAAAAAACCTGAGAAAAGAACGAGAAAAACCAAGAATTGGGCAC